GGACTCCGCGACGCTCCACCATGGAACTCGGGGTGAGCCTAGTCAGGAGGCACGAGGTGAAGCTTCGTCTTCTTCCCCCTCTCAAAGGCCCGCCAGGTCGCCGCGCAGTCGTTCCAGGTCCCCAAGCCATGGGTCTGGACGAGGGGGAGTTGTCAACACGGGCGCCGCGTCATCGGGAAACTCTTCCCTGCAGCGAGCACTTGCGGGGGAACTACTCGGCATTTGGCGCGAACCTCCTGAAGAAGAAGAACAAACAGCGACCTCTACCCACGCAGCAGCTGGGGATGGTGAGTCCCTCGCGATTGAGGCCATCAGCCCCGGAACAGGGACGATGTTCACAGATGAAGTGCCTCCCACTGCGGCGTCTTCCAGTGGGGCGAGTTTGGACAATCCCCCCTTGGCTGCGGGCATGCCTGCGAACTTGATGGTGGCGGCCACCTCGTCGGCCCCCTCTACATCCACCTCGACGACCCCCTCTACATCCACCCTGGCGACTACATTGGGATGGTCGTCCTCGACGTCTTCAACCATGGTGGTGGCGTTGTCCTCGCCGATGACCGTGACGACTCCCCCGACGACGGCTTCGACATACCTGACGAGCCCAGCGACCATGACGGGTTGGTCACGCGCGTGCACGTCCCTGGTCGTGGCATCCTGTCCGACTACCACGTCGACGACCCCCTCGACTTTGTCTTTGACTAACTGGACGACGTCAACTTGGTGGTCACCCCTAGCGACGGGAGCAACGGAGCCTGGACGTGATGCCCTTCTGGCCTCGACGACGTCTACATCTTCCAGCTCTTCCCAGGTGACGTGGCCCTCGGATGTGGTGAGAGACACTGTCACTAGAGACCTGCAAGTGGCGAGCAGTGCGGACGTGGTCGATGCCCTCCAGCGCCTATTGGCACGAGCTCGAGCGCTACTACATCATCAGCGCCTTCTACATGATGCCGTAGAGGAGATGCTTCCGTGGCTGGCGACGACACCTGGCACTGAAGTACTCAACGGCCCGACTCTTGATGCGAGGATTTGGCGAAGTGTGGCAAGAGAGGCGTCGTTTGGTTCCAACCCGTCGCCGTCTACCACGTCTACAGTCAACCAGGCGCCGATGGTCTTACTACAGCCGGGCTTCCCCACGAGTCATGCCGCCATTCATGAGGAACTCCCAGGCATGGGCTCATCGGTGATTGCCGGTCTGCGGCGTCGAGCCTGGCGTCATCACGTGCACTCCCTGGGTCCCAACACCACCGGTATTTCCACCGCTGGCGAGGGGCGAGATGAAGACCTCTTCCTCATCCACCTGAACTCGTCCCGCAGGGTTCCGGTCCCGCCTGGGTGCCCTCCTTTCGCTTGTATGCCACTGGATGTGGAGAGTGGGCGGCGCCGTGCTCGAGTACCTCGTGCTGGACCTGCTGTGGATAATCATCCGTCGACTACTGCTGCGGCGTCGGAGTCTTCGCCGCCGATTCCGTCCTCTGGCCCGCCCGTGAATGCTGCCTCCCCTGCCGCGACGATGCCTCAAGAGCTGGATGTGGATGCGGCGCCTGCTTCCAGTACTGAGCCCACGGCCGGGCAGAGTGGGATGAGTGACCGCCTGAGTCGTGAGCCTTCTACCGTCGAGTCGTCTGCTCGCCGTGATCGCAGTCGAAGTCGTGACGTGTGAGCTGTGAGCTGTCTTTTCCTCTGGGCTTCTGCTGCTCTTGCCGTAAGTGCGAGGGTGTGGTAGAGTGCATGCCTGCTACAGGCAAGCCTTTTGAGCCAAGCGCGTCAGCTGAGTGAAAGGGGCCACTGCACTTTAAAAAAAAAAACTTTGAAAGTCCTAAACCCTAAATTGTAGGGTTATTGTCCACGGAGAGCCTGTAGAGCCCAACACCCCAAAGCCTGAGAAGCTGGGAAGATGCAGGCGATGCCCAAACTTCGGGTGCAGAGGCCTTTAGGGTTCAGGGCTTAGGGTTCAGGTCCCGAGTTTCGGCTTTTGCTTTCTAAACAATTTGTATTTATCCTGGGCTTGAGGGTTTAGGGTTGTTTAGGGTTTAGGGTTTACGGGTTGTTGCTGGAACGGTGTTGACGGGGCCGGGTTTCAAGTGAATCGTGAATCCTAAGCCAATAAAACAGTGAAATGGGTCCTACAATCCAAACCCAGGTGTGTGTTTGACGATTCCGCACTGAAAGGCTCAGAATTGTTTGGAGGCTTCTTGTTTCGACGATTAACATCTGAAATGCAACGGAAGCCGGGCACAAGAGGTCAAGCGTATTGGAGGCTTAGGGGCTGCTCAAGGTATATCCCCTAAGCCCTAAACCCCAAACCCTAAACCCTAGTAGATTTGGAAGCCAGGCTTTGGGAAGGCTTCACTTCCTAGATTGCAGAGGATGCTCCTGGTGCAGCCGTGTCAGAGCTTCTCGGCAGCTCCTAGTTATGGCTCCGCTGCTCCACTTTGTGGGGAGCATCTGTTTCGAGTTGGAGCCACGTTGTCTTCATATCGTCATTTGATCGCCTATGCTCAGCGTACTTTTCCGGACTTCCGCCTGCACTCTCGAGTGTGCTGGGAGCTGGTTACGCGGTGGGAGGCCCTCGAGCCTCTCGCTCACAGGCCCCCGCTCCCTTCGAAGTTGTGAGAGGCCTTGGCAAGCTTGGCCATAGCCTGGAAGTGGCCACGTTTCGCTTTGGTGCTGCTGCTGAGTTTCCATGGCATCTTGCGGATAGGCGAGACCCTTGCTGCGCTACGCCGTGATCTTGTTTTTTTCTGCCGAAGCCTAGACCCCAAACCCTAAAGCCTAAAGCTCCTTGGCTTTCCAGCACCCCCAACACAACGTAGCCTCTCACAGAGCCCTTATGGTCCTTAATTAGTAGGTATTTAGGGTATAGTAGAGGGTAGTTGGGGGGGGTTCTTGGTAAGATTTCTGGGATCACCCTAACACCCCGGGTTGGGTTTATCATAAAAGACGGGGAGGGAGTGGGGATTTTAGGGTTTAGGGTTTAGCGTTAAGGGCTTGCTTAGGGTTCACACGCATGATGATGGCGACCTTTGTTTCTGGCAGCGTCTGAAGAGAAACAGCCCTTTTTCATTCGTGTCAATCTCCTTTTCAGTTACAAGTCTTCTGGTCCGAAAGACTTAGCGCGAAGCTTACAGCCCCACATCCTAAACTTGAAGCTCTTTCTCCAACAAAGCACAAATCCTGCACCCTAAACGTTCTCTTCTAAACATAGCACCCATCTTGCAGAAATCCCAATATCCGAATATAGATTCTGATTCTGCATCGCTCGTAGCCACGACCCATTATAGTTCGCGTATAGCTATATACTATAGCTATGCCCCGAAAGCCCAGGATATTTATTGAGCCCCCGGGATGCCCAGTCGGTTCATTGAGGCCCCAATATGAAACTCGATTAAAACCCCCTTAATGTCCATTACAGCCCTTAAGACCCGATATATGACAAACTCCAAGGCCCCTCCAAGAAACCTATAAGAACGCCATACGAACTCCAACTCCTATAAGATTTTTCAAGGAACCCTACAAACCCGAGCTCTAAACCCCAAACCTTAAACCCTAAACCCCACACCCCAAACCTCAAACCCTAAACCCCACACCCCAAACCTTAAGCCCTAAACCCACACCGTAAACCCTAAACCCTAAACCCTTCTCTTCAAGCCGACGCTTTTTGTCTCGCAAGGTGGAAGATGCAACACCGTTGTGGCATCTCTCGGAGGTCCCCTTTAATCTAAGGTCTGTAGGGTTCTAGGGTTTAGGGTTTAGGGTTTTGTGTCCGATGCCTTAAGACCGAGACCTGGATGGCGGCTTAAGGGTTTAGGGCTAGTTTGGGGTTCAGGCTCTAGGGTTCTAGGTTTTTCTGGGTTTTAGGATGTAGGGCTTAGGGCTTGAGGATGGGCTTGAAATAGAGTATTAGGGTGTGTATCAGGGCACAGGATTCGGTCATAGTTTTTGATAAAACAGAGGGTTGATGGCGGGGATCTCCATTTTGAGCTTCTTTTGTAACGGTTCTGTACATGTCTGGAATAAAGGTTTTAAGATGTGTGGAGATCAGGGCTCAGAGTATGAGGGGAACCAGACATACCACCCTACCTTGCTGGTTCTTTAGGGTTTAGGGTTCAGGGTTTAGGGTTTAGGGAAGGGGTCCTATAGTCCTCGGCCACATGACATTCCGATTGAACCCTAAACCCTAAACCGCATGAGCACGTCGGGTTTTAGGGTTTAGGGTTTAGGGTTTTTACGGTTTAGGGTTTAGGGTTCTGCCCAAGACTTGCAACAGGAACACAAGCCTCAACCCTTGACCGCACGCGAAAACCTCAGCCGGTTTAGGGTTTAATGTAGGGTAACCCGAAACCCCGAAAGCCCAACAGCGGAGATTGTTCGAGAGAGGGGAGGGAGGCAGAGAGCAATAATTACCTATTTATGTTAGGCATATCTATGTGTGTACATATATATGTATGTATATATACACACATATACATATGTGTGTATATATATATATAGAGAGAGAGAGATTCTCATTTGCACACATGTAAAGGGATTGGAAGCACGACTCACGACTAGTGCGCCTTACATTCCTTCACGTTTCCTTGATTGAGTCAAGACCACAACAAGCCGGTAGTCTTAATACTCAGGCCTTAATATATACAGAGAAGTAGGAGGGGTAGGGGAGAGAGAGAGAGAGAAAGATGGTTGAACCCCCAAACTCTGAACCTTAAACCCCTAGACCCCAAACCCTGAACCCTTCAACCGCGGGCCTGCGGTCTGTGTCATCGGCTTTGCCATGGTGAAGTTTGTTAGTGTGGTCATTCTCGCTTCATCTCTGTGTGTGCGTGTGTCTGTAAAGGCAGACTTGGCATGCCGGGATCAGCACACCCTAAAAGACCTAAACCTAAACCC